AATGACCAAGTTAGGGAATGGTTAGCAGTACCGGTTCCGCCAGGGCAAGGGCCGCATGGGGGTGGGGTTGGTCAACAGAGGAGAGGGACAGTTATGACGCGCTTAAGGTCTTTTGTGGATGGGGCAATGGCGGGAGATCGCATGAAGTGGGTGGTTTGGTGGTCCAGGATGGCGGGGGGACTGTGCTTGTAGTTAATGGGCTTTACTATGCAGGTTTGCAGGATCCTTGGCTAATAGAGTTGGTGACATTTCGGGATGCGATCCAAGGGTGCTCTTTGAGGGGTTACACAGAGATTACATTCATGGATGATGCATAAGATGTTATCAACAAGATTCAGCGAAGAGATTTTTGCAGTGCTCGCAAAGGTCGGATACTGGTGGAGATTGATCAGGTACATTAGTAGTACCAGATCTTTCGGATTGATTTCGTTGGCAGGGTGACCAACCAGGTGGCTCATAGGGTGGCCAAGAAGGCCCTTTCTTTGTTTTCTGCATGTGTTGATTGTTTTGATTTTAGACAGTGGTTATTCTTGGAGTTGTAATTGGGTTATTGTAAGACGTTGATATCTATGTTTCTTGGTAATACAAGTGAGCTTTTGGAAATAAAATCAAAATACACATTTATAAATAAACGTAAATATTAAGTGAATCAAAACAAGATATTATCTAATAAGACAATCATTAAATACGAACGGAAGTGGAATTAAACTTAAATATGAAAGGAAGGAAATCATTCAACATAAAATCGGAAAAGCAACTAAAATTTTGAAAAGGATACTAATGTAAAAGATGAAAACAAAACTTTAATGCCGTAGGTAACTACAAATTATAGAAAAGGCAAAATACTCTTGTATAGCCATAACTTTCACACTTGTGACAAATATAGCCATAACTATCCAAAAACATAAAATAGCCCATAAATTGGATAGTAGTGTGACAAATTTAGCCATTTCCGTTACAAACTTCAACGGTGTTAGAGACTCTGTCAATTAGACTAACGTTGGGCTCACTAGGATGCCAAATCATCGTACACGTCAACGATCAGTCATCATAGAAATGACATGTGTAAAAATATTTAATTTTGAAATAAAAAAAAAATAAAAAATAATTTTCCCTAAATTGCGATTTCTTCCACCGCCGCCTATCCCCTCCTGATTTGCCACCACTGCTTCCAATCACTATCTCGATCCTCACCTCCCTGCCTCATCCTTCCCCTGCAACCGAACAATCCAGCAAATCTTTATTTGAAAACACCAAACAAGTTTCAATCTTTCTTCTACTTGTCAATGACCCAGATCGTTAGAGCTCTCAAATGGGCGGCCCTAGAGTCCCAAGTCCATATCGGAACCAACAAAATTGAAGGTGTTTTATGCGTCGCTGGTAAAATTGCTAAAGAATCAACAAGAACATATTGAAAGTATGCTCGGCCAAAGGAAATCCTTTGAAGAATGGATAAAGAAGCAGCAAGAGGAAATCCCAGTTTCCACTCTCCCAACTCCTCGCCAACCACCATTCATGCATAACAAAAGAAACCCAGTATGCGAGAAGCTCTTATTCTTAGCCCAAGCTCGACGATGAACATTATTTCACAACCGACGAGAATAGGATCAAAACGACATCAACCAACAACGACGGACGACCGCTCAAAAGTGCTTGTCGATGGTGGATTTTGAAATCCCCAATCCATGAACCCTATTTTTTTCAGCGCCAACATCATCACCGTTCTTCCCCGACCCTTCTTCATCGTCTTATACACCAGCTTTGGTGGGAAGCGCCCACCGATCACCGTTGTGTGGAAGCTACTGGTGGTGGAAATTACTGGAGCTCAGTCACCACCTCAATCGCCAAGGCGATGCCCAAACTTTCTGGCAGATCTACAGAGTAGGAGAGAGACGATGGAGAAGCAGGAAGATGGGTTTTGATGTCTGGGTTGCGAACTCCAAAAAAGAAGAAAGGTAGATTGGAGGTTGGAAAAGAGATTGACAGGGAGATTCAAAGAAGAAAGGGAAGATTGGAGGTCGCGCTTCTGGGAGGAGTAGCGAAGGGGAAGGGAAGAAACCAAGGGTCTAATAGTTTTCTGGTTTTGTTATTATAATTTTTTCCTGCTAACTAGCAAGTTTGGTCACTGTAATTACTTAAAAAGTTTACTTTTGTCACTAAAATTTATTTATTCCGTTCGTAGTCACTCAAATTAGTTCAACCATTCAAGTTTGGTCACTCTCTGTTAAATTTTGCTGATGTGGCAGCCAACTATTATAGTTGACCGTTAAATGGCTGATGTGGCAATTAAAAAAAATAAAAATAAAAATTAATACTTTATAATTTACACCTAATTATAAAAATAAATAAAACAGGAAATCTAATTATAATTATCAATCCCGCAAAATAATTCGGTGCTGTGACAGGGCGAGGATGATTCTCGCTACCCGCCCCGCACCCTCCCCGGCCTTCAATCTGCTATCATCATTCATCATCATCCATGCCCCAATTCTATCATGAGCAGACGATTCTCTCCATCTCTTTTAATATTACATCACTAAGGCCCCAATTCTTCTCTTTTCACTCCTCGATTCTCCTCCCAAACCCCTTGATCGGCCCCGACAATTTGTTGAAGATCCAGGGAATTCTTTTTCTCTTCCACTCCTTCAATTCATCATCATCAAGGCCAACTATGGATTGAGCCAGACCATTCTCCCACAGTCTCACTCCTCGATTCTCCCAAATGGAAAACAGCCAAACCCCTTGATTAGCGCCGGAGATTGGAATTCCTCCCTTGAAATCATGTATTTCTTGATCCTTGCGGTGGTCGATCTAGGAGGGTACTAATTCTTTTTGCGATCTATGGTTGGTCAAATATTCTTTGATTTGGTTGAATGCATCTGATCTGGAGCGACCGCAGCTGGGGAAAACGATTGGATTTCCTTCTCCTTTCTTCTGCCCCAACGATGGATACATACAACGAGCGATGGCGAGCAGCTGCCGGTGGCCTTGTAGTGACGATATGGAGCAACGACCAGTGGTTGGTAATGCAGTGATGATCTGGAGCTCTCGCGACGGTGGAGAGGAACGACGACGGTCTGGCGGTGATGACTGATGATGGTACTAAGCCACAGCGGGTCTATGCGGTTTCGGGGAATCCGTTACCCGGCGTTGGGCGGGTGACGACGGTTGTAATCAGGGAAAATTTATGCCCGAGTTTCGTGTGGGGGAATTTGATAATGATGTAATTGCACATATTTGCACCCCTAGTTCTTATCTGTTTGAGGGGCATAGTTGTGTATTTTTTTGCCTATTTTACGCCGGGTTGTGCTACTTTGTCATATTTCAGGTCCTAGACGTCAAAGGAAAGTCTAAGCACGAGTTTCGGGGCATTCGGAAGTCATTCGGTCGAGCTGGAGCCAAAACACGGGCACGCCTAAATCAAAGCACGGCCGTGTTCCTGGACCGTGTTTTTACTGCCGAGGCTTGATCCAAGACTGACAAACACTAGCTCAAAACATGGGCGGGACTGACCCAGAACACGGCCGTGTCCATCATCAAACACGCCCGTGTTTTCCCAAAGTAGCGGCCGTGTTTTTAACACGTGGCCAGGGCACGGGCGGGCTGGAGCAAAGCACGGTCGTGCCCTCGACCGTGTTTTGCCCAGTGATGCCCTTTTAGGCAAATTTCAGCCAAAAGAGAAAGGAATTCGAGTTTTAGAGAGACATAGCGATTCCTAGAGAGAGAAAGCGACGAACAAGAGTTCCCAAGTGCCATAGCTTGATCTTCATCACCATTGGAGCCTGGCGACTTTAGTCGAGGAGCCAATTCACTATTCTGTACCGAATTTACTTCGGTAGTGAAGGTTTTGTTCGTTAGGGCCTCAGTCTGTTTACTCCGATGGAGGTTAGTCGCTCGCTAGAGACTCAGACTGAGAGGGTCTGGAGACCTTTAGTCGAGACTTCAGACTGTTTAAGAACCTTCCGCAGTATAACTATCATAGAAATTGAACTTGGTAAATTGCAATCCGGCTTAACTGCAGTCTAGGGGGAACCATATCCGGGTGACCTCTCTCGACTTGAAACAACCGTTTAACTTGCTTTGTGTCTTTGTTTGTTTGAACTTGCACTTAAGTTTTACCACTAGATAATAAGAATTCACTGAGTAGTCATCATATCTAGGACCCGGGTTGACATTAAAACCCAAACCCGCTATACTACGCTTTAGGAAGTGGTTTCACTTTGCCATTTTCTAGAGTGACAGTAGGAGTGAGTCAGAGAGATTCAAGAAGAAGGGGGAAGATCAGAAGTTGGAAGAGAGATTGACGGGGAGTTTCAAAGAATAAGGGTAAGATTAGAGGTCGCACTTCCGGAAGAAGTAGCGGCGGGGAAGGGAAGAAACAAAGAGTCTAATAGTTTTCTGGTTTTATTATTATAATATTTTTTCTTTATAATCCACGTCGATTAGTGGGGTAAGTCAATCACCAATTCAGATTCTTCCGTTAGTCCAGTCATACCGTCAACTAACGTCGTTAACAAAATGGAAGGAATTGGCTATTTGTAATTTGGATAATTATGACTATATTTGTAACAAGTGTGAAAGTTATGGCTATATAAGTGTATTTTGTATTTTTGGATAATTATAACTATATTTGTAATAAGTGTGAAAATTATAGCTATATAAGTGTATTTTGCCTATAGAAAAAACAGTAGAGAATCACTAACAACGAAATCGGCTATTTGTAATTTGGATAATTATGACTATATTTGTAACAAGTGTGAAAGTTATGACTTGGATAATTGTATTTTGCGCTTGCCTATAGAAAAATTATTACTGGGATAATTATAGCTATTTAAGTGTATTTTGCTTTTGCCTATAGAAAAAACAATAGAGAAATACTAATACCGAAAGTTCGAAGGAGGAGTTGGGGAATCGAACCAACTATCACAGCCCATCTGATCAAGTATATTACCGCCAGACTGCATTATAAATCATTTATAACTTTTGTCTAACTTTAGTATATTTATAAATTACCTGGGGGAATGGGCCCCCTCCGCCCCTGCAAAACGGTGTCCAAACGAAACAACGCTCGTTCATTGAACGAGAGACAGTCGCCAGTCGGAAACAAAACAAACCACCGCGAGTCCGTCTCGTCTCGTCGCCTCGCCTCCAATTCCAAAAAACCCTGGTTCGCCCAAGGTCGACGGCCTCACCGCCGTCTCTCTCCATCTCGAACCCACCTCGTCACCTCCAAAAACCACCGCGACCTCGTCGCCTCCAATTCCAAACAACGCTGATTGTTGTTTGCCCCAAAGTCACCGTCGGCGGCGTCATCGCCGCCTCCTAGTCTGAAGTTCTAAAGTCTCAGGTAATTTCCTTCCCCCCCTTCCAGTTCCAGTCAGATTCCCATGTGGAACTCAGATATACTGCATCTCTTATCCTCTTTATTTCCCCCCTTCTGGTGTAAGGCTACTTCTTGTGTTCCTTTGCACACGAAAATTTGAAGAATCAGCGCCAGATTCTGATACAAACATGGGAAGTGCCTTCACTATAAAGCACAATCATTGCTACTTTTCCTATCCGGTGATGCAAATTACCTGTTTAGCATGTTGAGTTCCGTCGCAGTGTATTTTACCGTCAGGTGTCAAGCTTGCTTGATATTCTTTTTACCCATCAATATAAATTTCTTGTGTTTTGATAGCCTTCAAATTTCAAATGCTGCTTTCGTGCTTTCACATTTTCAGACTATCTATGGGCATAACTTTTATGAGGTTTCTTAGGGGGTTTTCCTCTTCTTTCCCCTTGCAGGAACAACAGAAGTTAGTAGTTTTATAAATCATGGGAGATCGTAGGAGATGTTTGTCGCCTTTAACCTCATCAACCTTTCACTGCCCCAAGCCTGATGTCAATCCATTGTCAATTGACTCAGAACTCTGGTTAATGGCTGAGCATAGAATCTTTGAGATTTTGTGTTGTATTCAACCTGCTTTGGCATCTGAGAAGAAGAGGGATGAGGTTATTTCATACGTTTCGAGGTTAATTAAAGCTCATTACAGAAGTGAGGTGAGACTTCTGTCTGAACTTTGTAGATTGTTCTTTTTCTTTCAGTTCCTGTTTTTTCTTTGGTTGGTGATGTTGCCAACAATATTGAATCTGGGTTGGAATGGAAGTTTTCATCCCATTATCACTAGGACAAACTTATGGGTTATATTTCCTTCCTTTTAGTTTAACAAGATTGATATTGGATGTTGTGTTCCGCAATTAGGGGTTTACATGTTGGTGATCTCGATTCTGATACTGAATCATCCATGCAGAGTCTTTGCTTCTCTTGTTCTCAGAATTGAAGATTACTAAGTAGTACCACTAGTAGTCTTTGAATGATAAGAAATTGGCCTGCAGTGATTGATTGGCTGGCTTGTTTCAAATTATTTGTTCACAGAGTACATACTAAAGTCGGTACAGTTTCACTTCCGTTTGCTTTTGAATTTATTCATACGTCTTTGTGTTTTATTATCCTTTATTGCCGGCTCCTTATCTAATGGTTGGCTTCATTTTCCTATTATTTGGGTGTTAGTTTTTTTTCTTCTGTTAACGGTGTACGTTATTGTACTGTATTGCTGAAAAGCTTGGATATGTCTTCCTTTACTAGATTCGGCTTAAAAAGCATTGTCTAAATGTCAGCGCTTGATGACCTTTTTTTTACAGTTCTTTTGTTGTGGCTTACTAGATTTGGCTTAAGAATCTTTTCCTAAAACGCAACACGTGATGTTACAGTTTTGTATTTTATTTAAAATGACTCAATCGCTAGGCTGTTTCTCGTGCTACTCTTTTTGTGCGTTCGCTAGTATTTGATCATGCACAATTCCAGTTAGATTAGAGTTTATTTATTTCTTTAGAAAAAGGGGGCTTCCTTGTGTATCTGACATACATCCCAAAATTTACTTCTTTTTTATGTCTGGTTCGACTCAACAGATGAAGGTATAGGAAATTCTGTCACATTTATTTTTTTAATTTTCTTGTGGAAATTAATGTTAGAGCTGCAAAGACATGCAGATTATTCATTGAGAAATATTTGGTTATACTTTTGCCATCATTTACAGGTTTTTGCGTTTGGATCGGTACCCTTGAAAACCTATCTACCAGACGGAGATATTGACCTGACTATACTCAGCCACCAGAATACAGAGGAAGGAATGGCTGAGGGTGTGTCTGATATCCTCCAGGGTCATGAGCACGACCCAAAATTCGATGTGAAGAATGTCCAATATATAGAAGCTCAGGTTAACTTTCTGCTCTAATCACATGCGTTATACTGGATCTTTAGTTTGCTTATCCACCTGAAGTTAAATATCATGGTGTTAGTACAAGAACAAGTTTTCTTCGGACTTTTTTGCCATCCCTTGCTAGCTTTTGATTTTCTTAGAGCCTTATACTTTTTATTCCTTTTGTGTTGAATCAGAACTCTGTTTTTTGTCATACCTTATTAAACAACCTTGGCATGGGGTCTAGTTCATGCAGATATATCACAAATCTTATGACAAAACATGGTTATGAGGGAAACTCACAACGACATCTCTTTCTGCCCTCCACCTTTTTTTCTTCTATCAGCTTGGATCATTCCCACTTGTGACTGAAAAAGGGCAAGCTTGAATTCACCGTTTTGCTTAAACTCCTGTGGGGTCTTTGCTTATTCATCAAGTTTCTGCAGTCCTTCCCTTGTATGCTGGGAGCAAACTTGTTGATCCTGACATTTGATAACCCAAATTATTATGTATCTACTTGTGGCTGGTGATATTCCTATGCCCTTTGAAAAATGCGGTCGACGAATGGTATTCATTCACCTACCATTCAAAAATTACAACGGAGTACTTATACAAATAAGATATAAGCGAAGGGCGAAATTATACCAATAGTCCACCAAATTTATTTATATAAAAAATATCATGTGATTAGCGGCCGGTTTAAGGCTTGTGAAGTTCTACAGAATTCGACGTGAAACATCGACGTGCATATGTAAAAAACTTGGTTGCCGGTCATACTAGCTTATTTTAACATTTGGCAGGAGAAGTTTCAAGTGATTATGGGTACAGTTTGTGACGTTTACAGAGAAATCAGAAAACAAAACGTTTTAACATGCACTTTAGTTAGTATATAGAGCAGATATCTATGTTTCCCCAAATGATTGCAGAAACCTAAAAAAATTTTCAGACTTCCTCTTTTCCCATCAGACAGCATCACTGTCGGAGTTAGTGGTGACTGGAAACCAATTATGAGTTGACTTTTCGAATTGGCAAACACGAGTAAGAATGCTTCAATGTTAATCTTAATGAGGAGTAGGGCTACTACTGATAAGATTTATTCAAGTTGTGGCTGTTTTTTATTTCTGCTAGTGGTGCTGTATTTCCATTCATAATCTCATCCTATTGATGCATTGTACAGAGGAAGGCTGAAGCCCTGTTTCATTAATTGATAAAATTTCTGGAAGCAATAACGTTTTGTTCACTCTACCTACCTTCTGCAATGATCACTCTTCATCATGCAGTTCATTTAGACTTGAATTGACATCAGTGACTTTCCAGTAAGCAACCATGTCATAAAGCTTGATATATCTTTTGGCGGGATTATGGCAGGTCAAGATCGTAAAGTGTTTGGTGAATGACATCTCTGTGGATATCTCTTTCAATCAAATGGCAGGTCTTTCCGCTCTCTGCTTTCTGGAGCGGGTAAGAAATGGCAAACATTAGATCCAATTTTGAAGAGTATGATAGCAGTAAATGTCTTGTACTGACATGTTTAAGATTTCGTCCTTTACTGTTTTGTTGTACTTGCTAAACTCTACTCATCTCCTGCATTTGGGCTGGGGGGATTTCGTCCAAGATTGGCCTTAGCTCTACTCATGGTTGCATACGGAATATGTTAACTGATGCCTTATCTTGTTTTGCTGGAAACCAAAAAGTCATACTGCAAAATCTTAGCTTCATAATTCGACTTTCTTTGAGATGATAGGAGGCATTTCTTATGTTAATTAGTTTCCTGTGAACTTGTAAAAATATTCTCCTTGCACCACTACTGTGGTTGCTCATCCCAAACTTTCCCAAAACCTCAACATATCCTTCTGTTATGGAACTATTTATTTTCCCAAAATATATATTCTGACGTACATTTCATTTCAATTGTTTCTCAGGTTGACCAAATTTTGGGGAATGATCATATTTTGAAACGAAGTATTATCTTGATAAAAGCCTGGTGCTTTTACGAGAGCCGAATCCTTGGTGCTTACCATGGATTGATTTCAACATATGCTTTGGAAATATTGGTTGTGCATATATTCAACCTGTTCCATTCGTCCTTGAGTGGTCCTTTAGCAGTGAGTGACATTCTAGACTCACCTAATTCTGTGTCCATTTACTGTTCTGTTAGTGATTCGACCTTGGTAATTGTTCCAGGTTCTGTATAAATTTCTGGACTACTATAGTTCTTTCGACTGGGACAACCATGGTGTGTGCATAAATGGCGTATTTAAAATATCTTCTCTTCCAGATATAGTGGGTAAGTTTTAAAATTACGAGGAGAGGTGGTCTCGGTACTTACACAGGTTCACTAGTGATTTGCCTCTGTTTACTATTTGGTTGCATTAGTGGTACCTGCAGAGAATGGAAGTCGATTGTTGCTTGGGCCTGACTTTTACAACTACTGTAAAGAAACATTTGCTATTCCTGTTAAAGAACTTGACAGTGGGAGGCATGATTTTGTTGTTAAGCACATCAACATCGTGGACCCTTTAAAAGATAGCAACAACTTGGGGCGAAGTGTTAGTCGAGGTATGCGATTTATCCAATAATCATGTGGCATGTGCCTACATTCTGAGGCATCTATTAGCCTCTTGCAAGAACGAATGAGGTTTTCAATTTCTCTTTTGTTGATTTGCCACAATGACACGAACCTATATATTATCCTGGTTACAGCCTACTTTTTTCTAGTCATCAAGTCATGAAATGACATTTGACTTTCATGGCTTCTGAATACCTCCAGATATGGAAGAAAATATCCTGTTTGTCTGCGGTACAATACTGTTTGTATAAAGCCCTTCAGACTATTTTTTCCCAATACAGTACACTGTTGCATTCATTTACATGTTTGGATGACATACAAGAATATTGGGTTATTGCTTGGTACACATTTTGAAAATTATTAGGCGATTTCTCGTCAGATGACATGTTAAGCTTTTTCGGGTTCCATTTCCTTCCTTTGGTAGGCAATCTCCACCGGATAAAATGTGCCCTTACCTTTGGGGCTCAGAAGCTTCGAGGAGTCCTCAACGGACCAGGAGAATATATAGGCATGGGATTGGAGAAATTTTTTGCGAACACTCTAGGCAGGAATGGGACAGGACAAAGAGCTGATGCTAACAGTCCAGTACCTGCATTTGGCACTGGAAGAAGTGACGCATGTGATCTCAATGGAGACTATGACAGATGCCATAGTGGTCTGCTGCAGGGGCAGTGGTATCACAATTACAGACTACCGGATCATTTTCATAACATTCCTTCAACGCTGCTGTCTCCTTCAGAAATCTTGACGAAGAATAGTCAAATATTTTCTTGGACTGGGCAAAATGGTCATCCTCAGAAAGGCACCAAAGCATTTTTGCAACGAGGGCTGCCAGGGCTTTGCCCTTGCCCTTCAAAACGCTGTACTACTGGCATTGATGGGTTAGGAAATTTAAGAGGTACGGGCACATACATTCCCGATATGGTAAGTCTAGTTTCTCCCACTGTTTATAAATAGTAGCATAAAGTTACCTGCCTTATCTATTTCTGTGGAACAGTAAAACTCGGTTGGTGCAGGCTCGTTATAAAGAAATATGGTCCAGGACGAAGAGCCTTGAGAATCAAGCTTTTCTTAATCAGGGAGCACCATGTCAATCTCCTGAGATGACTTACCAAGTCCTTGCTCAAGCTGAAGCTAACAGCTGGATTGATCTCCGGCCAGAGAGTTTCCCTTTGCTTCCCTCTATCAACGGATCATCCAATTTATTCAGTGGTAACCAGGTGCATCATGTTGGTGATCATGGCTTTTTGCATCATCTCACCGACGAGTCTAGTTCCTCTTCGGGGCAAACAGATTTCAGGACTTCCAGCGAATCATCATCATCATCATCGTTCTTTCCGGCATCAGACCCAGAAGCTTCATTGGTTGGTGGGGACCAAGTTGATGATTCTCTTTTCTCATCCAGTCTGGCTTTTTCTATGGCAGAACACGAGAAACTGGAGGAATTAAGGTATGGACTTTGTTTCTTTGAGAGCATTTTTATTTATGTAGTGCAATCCTGAACTCTCTTCTGCTCTCTCCTCCTGGATGTTGTTGAGCTCTATAGGGTTGCAAGAGAAGAAGAATACTGTCAATTGAAGGAGGAGGATTTCCCTCCCCTGCCCAGTTATGTGGTTGAGCCCAATAGTGTTGCAAGAGAAGAAGAGTGCCAAATGAAGAACCTGGATTTCCCTCCTCTAGCAGGCAATTCTTTGGTTGTACCCTGTCGGGTTACAAGTGAAAAAGAGTACCCACTGGAGAACCAGGATCTCCCTCCTTTAGTTCGCGTCTCTGTGGTTGAGCCCTGTAGGGTTACAAGAGAAGAAGAGTATCAACTTAAGAACGACGACTTCCCTCCTTTGGTAAGCAATTGCGTTGTGAAGCTGTGCAAGGTTGCAAGAGAAGAAGAGTCGCTTCTGAAGGAGAAGGAATTCCCTCCTTTAGGCATTGCTGTAGGGCTGCAGGAGAAGAAGAAGAATATGTACTGAAGGAGGATAATGATTCCTCTCATTTAGTAAGCAAATGTGTGAGCCATTACGATGAGTGGCTTGAGGAGTTGAAAGTTGGAGCTTCAGTCCGGACAGAAAAGTAGGGGTACGACCAAGAAGCGGTCATTTTTCTTGTTGCAGTTATAATTTTTCTCTTCTTTGTCGAACCCATGAGAGGCATGCTGAATGGAAGCTGATTTTCTCCCAATTCCAGCTCATGTAGAGAGATCTTAGGGGAATACAATTCTGATTAGCTATCAGGTAAGCTCAACCCTGGTTTTTCTTTTGTTACAGGCTAGCGGCAGCAGTGATGTTTGTTTCAGTACACTGATTGAATGATTGATTATGGAGATTGAATTGCATGGGGTGTGGTTGGGGTTTTGATTTGGTTATAAAATGGTGCTTGGCAGTGGAAACATATCCCTCAAACTCGCTGCAATTTCTTCATTTAGTGGCACCTCTCATCACTAGCCAGTAGCCACCCACACCCACTTGTAATTAAACTCCCAGCGACTTATCTAATTTAGTGGCACCTCGGCTCTGATCATTAGCCACACCTACGTGTAATAAAAAATTAAATGGATTGGAAGGTTAGTGGGTTATATTCTCGATTAGAAAATGGCACCATCCACTTTAAGGGTAAATGATTCATTTGTCCATTGAGATTATTAAATCGGATTATATTTAGTCAATAGAAAAAATTAATATCAATTTTGGTCACTCGAATTACTAAGGCAGATCACATTTAGTCACTCTCTCATTAGCCTTCATTCAACTCTGGTCACTCGAATTACTTATTTTATTTTATTTTATTTTTATGAATGTCACTCGAATTACTTAAACATGTCACATTTAGTCACTCTCCCGTTAGTTTACGTCCAACTCCGTTAACGGGCCGTCAACGGAGTTGGACGAAGGCTACCGGAGAGTGACTAAATGTGACATGTTTCAGTGATTCGAGTGACCAAAATTGAATTTAATTTTTTCTAATGACTAAACATGACATGGTCTAATAATCTCAATGACCAAATGTGACATTTACATTTTTAACATATGTTGGAACTTGGACGTTAATCACATTGATACATGAGAGTACGAATTGGTAATAATTGTGTGGAGGATTTTGCTTGTATTCCCCTGTCCTTGGAGGTAGTACGTTTATTGATCTCTACTATAACAGGTTTACCACCATAAATTTGTGATCGTATGAAATTGATTTTTCAATTTTCCTTCGACTGTTTAGGCACGTCTAGGCTATGCTTGTAAAATGTGTAGAACGAGAACAACGATTTAACGTGGTATCCTCAATCTATGATTCGATTGAGACTAATCCACGGGAGAGTGGAACACTCTCCAGCTGCAGCTTTTATTCCTTAATGAATTGGTGGCCGAAGCCGTTGTTTACACAAGCATATATACCCTTTGTTACAATAAGTGACTAGGGTTTCTATCTCCTCGTTGGAGGAGGCTTGCTGGGATGTAGCATGGGCTGGATGCAGAGTGTCCACGGGCCGAGTCGGTTGGGCTGGGGACTCTCGATCCAATACTCCCCGCAAGCTGGAGCGTGAAGGTTACGAACGCGCAGCTTGGACAACAGGAAGCGAAACCGATCGACACCGAGCCCTTTGGTGAAGATGTCAGCCAGTTGAAGGTGAGAGCTGACCTTGAGTGTGCGAATGTCACCAGACTAAACACGTTCTCGAACAAAGTAGCAGTCCATATCCACATGTTTAGTACGCTCGTGGAAGATTGGGTTAGCAGAGATGTGGAGAGCAGCCTGATTATCGCAATAAAGTGGGGTAGGGCCATCTTGAGGAGTCCCAAGCTCACTTAAGAGCCAACGGAGCCAAAGAACTTCACTGACAGTGCTAGCCATGGCCCTATATCAGCCTCTGCAGAGGATCGAGCAACAACGCGTTGCTTCTTAGTGCGCAAAGAAACGGGTGCACCACCTAGACTGATGAAATATCCCGTAGTGGAGCGGCGAGTATGTTCGCAACCACCCCAATCGGCATCACAATACGCGGTGAGAGAGAGATCATTCTGAACTGGGAAAAAGAGACCCTGGCCCGGTGTGGTCTTAAGGTAGCGAAGAATGCGAATGGCCGCATCCATGTGATCCTGTCGCGGAGCATACACAAACTGACTAAGAAGATTGGCACCATAAGTGAGGTCCGGGCGAGTCACCGTGAGGTAGAGTAAACGACCGACCAATCGACGGTAAGCAGAAGGATCAGCAAGAACATCGCCAGGGGCATTGGGACGAGAGAGATGGTGATTCTGCTCAACCGGAAACCCACTCGGCCGAGCACCAGTGACCCCTGCATCGCTGAGATTATCGAGGGCATACTTGCGTTGACAAAGCGCAACCCCGTCAGAGGTGCAGGCAAACTCCATGCCAAGAAAGTATCGGATCTCGCCCAGATCCTTGATACCAAACTGCTCATCAAGAGAACGCTTGACCAGGGTCATGAAGTCCAAGTCGTTCCCAGTTAAGAGAACGTCGTCCACATTGATCAATGCAATGACGAACGTGCTCCCCCGCTGGAAAATAAACAAAGAGTGATCTGCTGGTGATGCGCAAAAACCAAGAACCCCAAGAGCACTAGTGAATTTTTTATACCAATTCCTGGAGTCTTGTCTGAGACCATACAGAGATTTGTGCAGCTTGCACACACGATTATCACTGGGCTGAGCAAATCCTTGGGGAATTTGCATATATACTTCTTATTCAAGATCACCATGCAGAAATGCGTTGTTGAAGTCGAGCTAATGAAGGTGCCAGCCACGACTAACAGCTAAACAACGCACAGTGACAAGCTTGGCGACTGGGGCAAAGGTATAATGAAAGTCGATCCCTTCGATCTGCGTATAGCCATTTGCAACCAGGCGAGCCTTGAAACACTCGAAGGAACCGTCTGCTAGAAATTTGATTTTATAAATCCATTTAGGTGAGATAGCTCTTTCCCGGGGGGCAGCTCGACCAAACTCCAAGTGCCATTGAGCTCAAGGGCAAGAATTTCTTTAATCATTGCGTCTCGCCATCAAGGGTCTTGCATAGCCTACAAGAAAGTGCGAGGTGTATCATGGGAAGTGACCGCAACCAGAAAAGCATGATAAGTAGAAGAGACATCATCATATGACACGAAATCAGACAGAGGATACTTAGCTCCGGAGGCTTGGCGACTAGGGTCAGCGTCGTCGCCAGGTATCATAGGAGTGAAGTAAATATCCAAATGCTTTGGGCGAGTTCGAACTCGGTTACTGCGCCGAGGTGGAGGTGGCGTCGCGGAGGGCACTGCCGAAGAGGGAGATGAGGCTCCTAAATCCGAGGCTGAAGTGCCGTCGCGGGGGGAGCTAGGTGACGCGACACCAGAAGCGGGCTGAGTGGTGGGAGACGATGGAGAAGGGGCCTCAGTTGAGGGCTCCAACTGAGGAGCAGCAGGTGGATCCACCTGGATTTGATCGGGAGAGACGGTGCCCATATCAGCAAGTACATCATCATCAAGACCAACAGGGTCAGCAATGGGACGAGGCAGCCAGGAGAAGTCACCGCCGTGGGACGGGTGGAATGGGAACACGTTTTCGTGAAAGACAACGTCGCGTGAGGTGAATAGCTTGCGAGAGCGGAGATCATAGACTCGATATCCTTTTTGACTGGAAGCATAACCAAGAAAGACACAAGCACGCCCACGTTCACCAAACTTATCGATGTGACCATGCGTGTCTTTGGAGTAGACTAGGCAGGCGAATACTCTCAAATGAGAGTAAGGAGCTGGTTTGTCGAAGAGGGTCTCGAAAGGTGTGCGACTAGTAGCTATCGTGGGAAGACGATTAATGAGGTAGGCAGCAGTCATAACGCACTCACCCCAAAAACGTAGAGGTAGGTTCGCCTGAAAGCGTAACGCACGAGCTGTCTCAAGAATATGGCGATGTTTTCGCTCAACGACGTCATTTTTTTGGGGCGTATCACTAGCATAGAATTGCTGGAGGATCAAGGTATTGAACTAAAGGCCATTATCGGCTTGGATACGGCGTACTCGTGCGCCATGCTGAGTGCGAACCTGCTGAATGAACATCATCAAATAGCGTCCCACATCAGATTTATAACGGAGTAAGTACACCCATGTACCACGAATGAAATCATCTACTATCGTAAGAAAGTAATGGGCACCGCTTAACGAAGCCACGTGGTAACCTCCCCAAATGTCAACATGAAGTAAATCAAAGCAAGCCTGGGTTCGTACTCCTCGAGATGGAAACGGAGTACGACTCTGTTTAGCATGAGAACAAGGATGAAAAACTCCATTATTTAAATGAAAAGAAACCGACAATATGGAACTAAGTTGCTCGTGTTTGGCATGAGAAGGATGCCCCAGACGGACATGCTACAAGTTCCCTGAAATCTGACATCCTCCACTGACCGTGCACGCCTGTGTAAGACCGCTATCGAACAGGCGCAGATAATATAGACCGTCACGTAACTCACCTTTCCCAATCTATTTCTTGGAGTGCAAGTCCTGAATAATACAGAAACCATCAAGGAAAATTAGTGCAGCATGATTCTTCTTAGTAAAACGACTGACCGAGATCAAGTTGCACCAAAATTCAGGGACATGTAAGACCCGATTAAGAGATATCTCGGCTGGGAAATTCACACGGCCCACGTGCGAACGGGAATATTCGCCCTGTTAGGTATTTTAACAGGCTGACCACGCTCAATCGCAATCTTATCAGACAACAAATTATCATCCATAGTGATGTGTTCATTGCAGCCGGAGTCGAGCAACCATTCAGTATCAAAAGAAAGCATACCTGCTGAGTTTGCCGTCGGATCATCAACACCCTTGCCAGGATACCCAAAAAATTGTTTAAGTTGTTCGAGTTGCGCCATGCTGAAACCGGCGACGAGGCTCTTCTCCTTCTCTTGATCGACTTGAGCTGCGCGAGGGGTGCGACCACGAGCTGGGTTGTCGATTGGAGGACGAGGTTGTCTCTTCTGCTGCTGCGAGTCTCAGTCACCACGAGGAGCAGCCTTGTCACGATCACGGGGAGGATATCCGATGAGCTCCCAACATGTGTCTCGCACATGCCCAATCTTCTGGCAATGCGAGCAGATAGGGCGGTCCTTCTCCCCAGAAGAACAAGGTTGTCGATCTCCTTCACCCCGGGCCGCAAAGGCCGCCGCTTCGCTGATTGGTTTGCGGCTTTGTGAAATCAGCCGCTGGTGCTCTTCATTGAGCGCAATATTGAAGGCTTCCGAGAGTCTGGGCGTGGGCTTCATTGTCAACACCTGAGTACGAACCGTCGAGAAGGCTTCATCGAGTCCCATGAGGAAATCGAATAGGAGCGAGTGATCCTGCTGCTCGCGAATGCAGAGAGAGAGGTTGCAGGTGCAAAGACCGCATGTGCAACTAGGTGTGGGGCTGATCGCGGTCGCCTCTTCCCACACAGAGCTCGCAACTTGGTGAAGAAGGTCGACACGGAGTGCTTCGCTTATTGCAGCAAGCTGATGAGGCGCCGTATTTCGTAGGCGCGCGACGCGTTGCCCTGTCCGAAACGACCTTGAAGGTCAACCCAAATCTCACGTGAAGTTTCAGCAAACGTTACACTACTCCTGATCTCTTTGTCTATGGCCGTTTTCATCCATCCTTTCACCATAGCATCGCAGCGAACCCAAGCACAGCGAGCAGGCCCCGCGTCAGGCTTTGGGAGAGAGCCATCCACGAAGCTCCGTTTATTTTTTGCCAAAAGGGCATCTTTCATGTCCAATGACCACTCACCATAGTTCGTGGAGGTAAGGACGTCTCCTACAAGCAATTGGCCTGGACTGTCGGACAAGGGCAGCTGATAGACGAGGGGAAAGACGTCCCCGCCATGCGTGCTGCTCGTCCCTCTGTTGCCGCTATTGAGAACGACGCTGTCAACGGAAGTATCAACGTTGCCAGACATGATTGCAGTCGAGGATCTTACTGCTCTGATACCATGTAAAATGTGTAGAACGAGAACAAGGATTTAACGTGGTATCCTCAATCTATGGTTTGATTGAGACTAATCCTCGGGAGAGTGGAACACTCTCCAGCTGCAACTCTTATTCCTTAATGAATTGGTGGCCGAAGCCTCTGTTTACTCAAGCAAATATACCCTTTGTTACAATAAGTGACTAGGGTTTCTATCTCCTCGTTGGAGGAGGCTTGCTGGGATGTAGCATGGGCTGCATGCGGAGTGTCCACGGGTCGAGTCGGTTGGGCTGGGGACTCTCGATCCAATAATGCTTAAACGGGCTAGGTAATGGTCAGGAGCTCAACGCTTACCTAGTGCTTTTTTGACCTTATAGATTGACCATTACCTTTCGAGCTTATGTGTGACATCAACTGATAAAGGCTCTATCCAAGAATTAGGGATTAAGAGAATCAATGTGGGGTTGATCTCACCAAATGAAAGAAAGAAGACTTGGAAGGGAAGTTTGTAGAAAAGAGTTAGAGGAAGGAAGAAGAGAGTTCGACAGAGAAGGGTGAAGAGGGTCGGCTGACTGGGAGGGAAGAGAGAGAAAACTTAGGATTTAAGGTTTAATTCGATAACTGTTTATCTCACTAATTACATGATATATATAATCCCGCTAATACCCTTCTACTCCCCCCGATTATTGGAAAAAATTCAAGTGTACCACTGTTAAAAAAAAATCCAAATATACCACCTAAATAAAAAAAATTCAAAATCTACCACCATTATTTGAAAATCGCCACCCAAGGAGGCGGTTTTCATATGAACCGCGTGCTAAGGTCGCGATTTATGGGAGAACCGCATGGGGAGGAGGCTTTTTTTGTTGTTATACAAACCGCCCTCTGGAAGTGCGGTTCATTGGCTGCCCCCGCACACAAACCGCCTCTTCAAGGAGTGGTTCTTCGTCAACAATAGAAACTGCTCCTTGAGGATGCGGTTTAATAGTGTCGATACACAAACCATTCGTCCTCCCAGCGGTTTGTGTGTTGTCCTCATTCCCCCGACATCCGACTTGTCGGCGTGCTGGGGGTGGGGATGCATGCATGGCAGACTAAAATTGCCCTCCCCCCTCTGCGGTTTTTAGTAAAAAAGTTGCCTATAAAAGGCAGCCCTGAGAAGGAGGTAGAGGTAATTCTGGAGATGGCCAAACATCTGATATCCACGGCGGAGGTGGATTATACAAAAATCATCCCTACCAAGGTTACCATGATCCTCGTACCTACCATGAGTACTAGGAAGAGGTGGAGGTCATCAACAATGCTTCCCATCATTTGGAGAATAATCATTCCCATCATATGGAAAAGAATCCCAAGGGTACCATGACAACCAACAAGAAGGATACCAGTACCAACCCGAGTACAACTTCCATCAAGGTAGCGGTAGTTATCACAACTACCATTACAAAGCTGATGAAGGTGCTTTTCATGTTCTAAATCAGATGGAAGATGCCATGCCATGTCTAGTTAGAGACCCTGAGGATGAAGAGGAGGAAGGTGATATCAGTGCAGACAATTTCGACACTTTTGAAGGTGCTAATGATTCAGGCCAAGATTCAGAAGCAGATGATGATGAGGTGTCTCGTGACCGTGTGCCTATCCCGTACTACAATCACATTCCAAATGAAAATTGGTTTCTTGTTGCCGACATGGAGCCGCCAGATTTTCCATTATGGGGTCCCCTCACTGGGTTTCAAAAGGGCCAACAATTTGCTACGAAAAATGAGGTGACACGCTATTGCCACAGAAGCAATGACTCGGAGTTTCGAATGACACACAACTCACTCTGATACAAAGAGGCTCATAGTTAGACGCCATATCAACATGAGGGATGCAAGGCTAGGCTCCGGGCCATCAAGAGCAAGAGATTCGGCCTTAGGTCATATCACATGTGGTTGATACAACCCTGGATTGCTTCATTTCCAAGTTGAATTGCTTGTCCAAGAAGCTTCCCCAACTCACTTGAACAATCTGGATTTTTGGCCAAGTATATTGATGAGTTCAGGTAGTCTACTTTGGGAGCTTGGTTCTTCCAATTGGGGTGGTAAAAATATGGGTTTATGGTATTGTCTTGAAGATGGAGTTCCCTTATAAAAGCTGGTGTATCGGGAAGCTCGAGGAGACACTCAGAAGCCCATTTTTACGGCGAGTCAAAGCGCTACCTCAACACTGGAAAACAGGCAGAATCTGTCTAAGTGTCAGACTGTGTTCAGGGAGGCTACTTTGAGGCTCTATTCCGAGCAGATGGAGTCGAATCAAGGGAAGGTCTTCGTACTACATGAAAGTATGTATTTTTGTCTACGGAGGTAAGGTATTGGCTAAGAAGATGAAGGCATGGAGAGATGCGAACGAGGGGTTAGAAGATGCTATGGACCCTGTTTGAGAAGCAGTTTACTTAAGCTAGAAGAAAGGGGTATTATGGACGAGTTTTGGATTCCTTTTCAGTTTGGGACTATTACCTTAATCGTAGAATAGTTTAATTAGGT